GGTTGTTTTATTCCGGTATCGACCACTAGCCGATCATCATTGGTGGACCAAGACAGCCGGGGCGAGCTCACTATGTCCCTCCTGACAACGCCCCGACTGATTGCGACGTTATCAACTATGCCTTCTCCAAGCGTTCTATTATGTGTAACTGAAATCGGAAAAATCCACTCAAATGCTGCTTCACTCGACTTTCTGCTCATCATTCACTTCTTAGCCCGTTTTACTACTTTTTATTTTTCCCATTCTCGCGGACTCCCAAAGGAATGCAAGAACTTAGCATTCCAAATTTAGCAACTCCGTTACAACGGACAGTTAATGACCTGGTAGCAGGCAAACCGGAAGTACCAGAGACCGTCATTGAGAGTGCGTTTTTCAGCAGGTGATATGTTATCGCACAAAGGCAGTTGGCTGCAGATTAGCTGTGTATAAAAGCGCTCTAATTAATTAATGAAGCAGTCAAAGAGTGCTCGAGCTATTTCCGTGAATCATCGCAGTTGTTCCAGACCTGACCCACACCTTTACATTAAGGAGGTGATAGTCTCTTTTTTTCGCGTTGAGCCCCTCCTACCTCCTTTTCCGAAATTCCTCAGAAGTTTACTCCATGTAGAGCTGTTGTTCCAGATTCTACAGGATTTGGGCTAAACAACTGGGGTCAAGCGTACATTGGTGAATATTAGACGAGAGGAGCGGGTCGTATTTTGCTGCCCACTATTCTGTGGTCCTGTCAATTTTACTCTTCTGATAGTGGATCGGAGCTCGTCTATACACTCCCCTGCCACTTGGAGAGCCCCGATGTTGGGGCGGTCGATCGATGAGGCAATCGTTTAGTGGGTCGTACTGTTGAGAAAATTTACGCAGCAATGATTTGATTTGTTCGCCAGAATAACTTTTGACTTTTACTGAGCAATAATTGCATTTTTCTGAGTAATAACTTGCAGATAACAATACTAATATTTTGATTTTCTGTAGCCAATACTTGACTCTCGCCACAATCGTGAGAGAGATAGTAAATCATACCGTGAGGCAAACTCCTGGTACTTGCTCAAACTCTCCACTCAGATGTCTTTTGATACCTAGGAACTGGATTCGGAAATCTGATTCCGGGCTCGCGTGAGCGTCTGCTGCTTGACAGAGGCCTATTTCCCCCTAGGGGCAATGTATTGCACCATTGATTCCAAGCTGTTCCGTCTTCTCTTCAGCTTTCACGCGTTTGGCTTTCACACACTTATCAGTGAAAATTAGTATGAATACCGACGAGTATGTCCATATGAGATCTAGGTGTTTTTTATGGATTACAAGCCATTTTCCCTTGATTCAAAAACTCGGTGGCCTTCACAGGAAACATTAAAGACCTTAGCAATACTCCCTATGTGCTAATTTTCCACCCTGCTAGGTTCCACTCTTTTATGCTATGCTGCAATTTCGGCGGTGATTATTGAAATTCATATGGAACCAAGTTCAGCAGCATAGAGTGTGTCTTGCAGTGAGCGTGACATGTAGTGTGAAAAGTGGGGTTCCACTTTTTCTTTTAGGCGCGAATTTTGACCGGTCAGACCATAGTACATTCGTTTTAGAGACTTCAAAGGACGATGGCAACGAAGCAACGAACGCTCAAATATTTTCCTATTGCTTCTCAATCATTATAACGAATCCCCTCTGCAAATGAAGGTGGAGCATGGGTTGAAAAACGCAATTTCTTGGGGTTAAATATTCCGGCAAAGCGTAGACAACGTCCCAAAAGGACTGGATGCCATTATCGCTGTGTTCCTTTTCTCGTTTATCACGAACGCGCTAGATGAACCTTTTCTGGACGTTATTCAAAAACGGATTACGGTAGACCACTACCACCTAATCGTCTCTATGATCGCAGGAGGCTTTACTGCTTTCTGTCACCATCGCTTTTCCTTGGCACCTCTCAACACAATATTTGTTCATTTGGCAGGTTTTTTCTTGACGCTTTTAATGGCGGCGTTCACAATTTTGGCGCAAGTATTCGGTTCGGAGTAAAGCTGAAAAGGTAGGCTTATGAGATCATGAAGTTGACCATCACTCACCTCTTTGTGAACCTATCAAGATACAAGATAGAGATAAACCCATCCAGCAGCTCATGATGATCCCATCACAGTCACAACAGGGTGTTCGGATTCCTCAACAGTGGAGGGGGGGGTCGTATTTGGCCGCTGGTGTAGTGTTCGTATTTTGCCGTGGATGAGATGTTTCTTTTAGGGGTTGATTTTTCTTCTTTCAACGAACGCTATAAAAAGGGGGGGGGAGCGGTCGCATTTGTCCCCCCTCTTCCTCGCTGGACAGCAAAATTTTGGGGAGAACTATGAAAATTTTCGGAGAATTCCCGAAGAAATTGAAAAAGGATAGGAATTTGGAAAAATCTTGGAAAGCGGGAGGTAGAAAGGGGGAAAGAGAGAGTCGTATAACTCGCGGGTTTTTCCCGTTTCTGTGTTATGTGCCGTATAAGCTCCAGCCCCCCTCCCCCGCTCAACAACAGCTCTATTGTGTCAGAGGAGGGAACTAGGGGCCGGGTCGCACGAATCCCTCCAGAAATCCCGAACCAATAATTTATTCTACCAATAATTTATTCTGGCCCGGGACCATATTCCCGAATTCTACGAATTCTCGTTCCCTCATGAATTCTTCTGGAAAACAGCCACATGGTGGATTACTCATACCACTACCAATGATATTGTTTTTTTTCTTCTTACAATTCGCTGAGTCATGGATATAAATTTAAACGCTCAAGCAGAGCTAGATCTGATACCACAAAGCCTTCCAAGCAGAACTGTGATGCCCTCAACTTCCAGAGACCCGCGAACCCTGCACCTCCTTAGACGGTACGTACATTTTTTAGAAAAGTTGGGTTTTTTGTTATGTGTTTTCCGCTTAATGCTATCCGGTCTAAGAGTGGATTTGTGACATGGATTAGGGATTTACAACACTAACTAGAGCCGATCATCCCTTTTGTTGCTATGGAAGCTCGATAACCACCAAGGAGCAGCACCAGGATGGGTGAATGTTTATATTTTCCCCATCCTGCCTACATTCTTGCCAAGTTTTCCCAAAGTTTGCCACCGATCGAGAAGGAAGGGGGTCTAGCAACTTTGATCAAGCATCAGTAGTTTACCGCATAGGGAGCGGGGTATAGCGAACGCGAAAAGAAAACAAACAACTATCGGAAGAATCTCTTTCGAGGCCAAATACGGGCGGCTGCCCGACCCTGTAGCACAACGACAGTTTATGTACTTTGGCACCTACAAGGCTTCAGGCTCTTCATTAACTTGAGTAGATTCTAAGCTAACTCGAGATTAATTCACTCATGTCAATATCTCTGCGTGCTGAAGACCGTTTAAATGTAGAGGTTTACCGTTTTCTGGCCCTTTACTAAAGAGCTTTTATAAGCATAAGCTGCGACGGCTTATTGTCAGAAAGCGAAAAAGACCTGCCCAACCTAAAAACAGTTCTCGCTCGCAGTGAATTCGTGAGCGTCCTTCCTAGTAGAAATGGCCTGGTCCTCGGTCTCTGATATTGTCCCATTTTCACGGCTTCACAGTAACTTACAAAAGCGCTCAAAGACCCTCATAAGTGGCAGTTATAACGCCTCCCTAGGTGTCACGCCCACCAAGACTCTAAGGCTATTTTCTGTCCCAAGTTCGGTTTTTAGGTCGCGTCTCCAGTTTTTTTTTCTCACTGTTAGATAGTAAGCAATGGATGACGCGAAGAAAGGATTGGTGAGCCAGAGGCGGCACTGTATAGCTTTGCTGGCATAGCATAAAGCGAGTAAGGAAAAATTGTACTGTCAGGCGCCGCCAGAGGGTAATTAGGGTGTTCTCCATAATTTTTTTTGCTTTTTTTCTTCCCTGGAGGGTCACTTGACAACTATAGGTGGCTAATTGAGCGCCACTATCCACAATGTGCTATCGCGCGGTTTGCCTTAAGCGCTTCGACACCGAAGCCGACCATCTGGGACTTGATCTATACGAAAAGTTGCCATTACCAGCTCAATCCCATCGACTTTGTGGCAGACCAGCCTTCCCGAAAGTCCGAATAGGGTGCTAGCTTGCGGGCAAAAGTCTCATACTGTTCCTTTTTGATCATTTAAGTATATTTGGCACTATTCCAAAACTTCTCCAATTCTCTGACATCCCATAAGCTCGTTCTCCGCACTGAAATGATTAGCCACTGGAATGGTGGACATAATGTGGAACCATCAGAAAACGAAGTAAGATTCCCTGTAATCCCAACAAATCTTGGCGGAGGACATGTGCATCCCCTCCAGGGATGAATCTCCCGGTAACTTCATTGTTCTCTTGATCCTGCTTCGTCACATTTTGGCAAGTGAAATACGTCAAACATTTATATTCAGTCACCGCTCACGAATGAAATGGAAAGGGCATCTGCCCGAATAATGACTATGTGATCGTACTCTGTTCCTTGCTGTTTGTCCTGTTCAATCATTTCTTCACTACAACCATTTCTGAAAGATCCAACGATCTAACAGTACAGCTTCAGGACGAGTTAATGAGCAGACGAGTTACTAGTTGGGTCGTCTCTGATATCTCACCGCATATTTGCCACCCCTGTCAAATTGTGCTCTTCGAACCCTTAAAATCGCATCCATAACTCTCACTAGACCATGCCCATTTTTGGCGAACAGCCACGTCACATGGCGCAGATCTCCGCGCTATGTCGCTGATCTTTGCGCTCTTTTATCAGCTGTATCATAACATATTTTGAATACGAGCCCATGCATATGCAACATCAAACATAGCGAGAACGACTCCTTGTTTTCATGCTGCTTATCCTAGGACACGCCCTCTAGCGGCGGCATGTCCGTGGGAGCAGGGACAAACCCTGGCTGGTATCGTGTGAACGCCACGCCCATCACTCGTTGTCGACTCACCCGTTCTGCGTGATACCGCCCACCGTTCGGGCCACCCCATACACAATCATATCATCTCGCTTACAGAGTAACACGCTGGCTTCACATAATGACACTGCCGGTGTTTGCGAAGAAGGTGAAAAAGTTGGCTTCATTCCAGCTATTCAATCTGAAACTGCTCATCAACGGCGAATCAAGTGAGTACCTTATGCATCTTCTTGATCTAATATTTCTAGAGCGTCATTTCAAAGTTGGTTCCTAAAGTTGGCCACATTCAACCCATTTACTTCACATTTTCCCTCCGAATAACTAAAACTCTTGTGGGAGCCAGATTCCCAGAATTTACCTGATTTCAGGCCGTGGTTTCAACAAGTTCAAGAAGCACTACAGACTCAAATGTGAACTTGGTCGCGGTGGATTCGGCATCGTCTACAGAGCGATTCGTGTCGCTGATGAACTTCCAGTTGCTGTGAAGTTCATTGATCGACGAACAGTTCGTGAATGGGGAAAGGTACAGCAGAAATCTTCTCCCTGCCATTATAGGACCCCAATAAACGCCCACACTTCAGATTAACGATGAACATCTCCCCATGGAGATCTGTATGTTGGCAAAGTGCTCGAAGATTCGAGGTGAGCATTTCAGTCCGTTACGGCAAACTCGTCCATCAGAGACTAATTGATTCTTGTACGAACGGAGAATATGTCTCTTATTTCTTCATCGACCTTATTCTTGTAATCGTCATTGAAGGCGACAACAGCGAGAGGGGACAGCGCTTTCAATTGATGGAATCCTCGAAGTTTCCCTCTTCAACCAGTGGAACTTCTTTTTTGCCGATCAAATGATGCTTTGAATCAACTCCTCTCCATCCTTGAATGACCAGCCCACTATTTCCTTTATCTTCTGTTGGCCCAAGCGAAACTTTCTCTCCGCCTCCCGGGATCTTTTAGGGGGCCTTTCTTTGCCGTTCGCATTCTCCCAAAGTTCTTTCTCCAACTACTCTAATTCGCAGGATTTATGATTCTTTGATATTATTTCCGTGCGTAGAGGATTCGTTATTCTTGATATCGGGATCTATCTTCAACTTTCTGGCACTACATGTCCTACTTGAAAGCTCATTTACATTTCTTTGATGTTGTATGAGTGAGTTAATCCCACAAATCTCGCGGAAATTATACATCCAAAAGGCATTGCGTGCGGGGTATTGGGCTGAGCTGCTCTTTGATAAGTACCCTTTGGAAAAGCGACTTTATCCGAACATGGATGAAAAGAAGCAGTCCACCAGTGGGGGGAAAATGGGGGAAAAGTCTAACAATTGAAGCAGCATCGCGCCAGCTAGTGATAGGATATCAAAATGCTGTCCTTTGAAGTGACACCCTTAAAGATGCTGTTGGACTCATATCCATGACTCGGACCAATATTGAAATACTAAGGCCTGTAATACTTCTAGCGAGACCTCGTTCAAATTTTCAAACATTTTCGTTTGAAATGGTTCTCATAAAAGCGCCTGACATGAAAAAGTCTCTCTTGAGTCACAAACTAAAGCGCTGAATTTTTCGTAGAAAGTTCCCGTTTCAAAGGTTCAGCCACATTTGTTTCAATTTGAGATTTGTATCTTGAGTTCATTCTTTTTCATATGAATTTCTCGTAAAATATAATAGATACAGTACCCTACTTAGGGTTTTTTTTTGACATTGTACACATCAATTATGTGTATTTATTTATTGTCTATCTTTTGTTGTGCAGTGTTCACCACACACCGGGCTTGCTTCTTTCATTTTGAGATTTGTCTACGTTACCTCTAAACAAATAGAATGGTTCCACGTAGGGTTCAATTTTGGTGCATGCTCCCACTTTGTGTGCATCACGGAGGAGAAAAAGAGGAAGTGGGAGGTGAGACTCCTTTGACGTGATTGATGGGGAAAGCGTAAAATCTAAGCTCATGGGACCATAAATTTTTGGGATTAAATAAGAAGCACAAAAAAGTACTGCTGTACTTGATGGTACACTTATGGTGCCCACTTGAAGCGCCATAGACCATAAATTTCTCTCAGATCGAGTGTGCAGGCTGCGCATTCCTTTCATCGCTTCGACGACGACTAACTGGTGTGTGTCATGGGTGTTTCCATGTCAGTGCATAGGCTGAATCCCAGTCAGAGTAACCCTACAAATGCTTATTGGGAGTGAAATGTATGGCGCTTCCCAAAAGGGCTGTTCACGTTGGGGGTTCCGCCATATATTCTCCACTTTTACCTTTCATTTGAACCTCGTCAATCTGGTGGTACGATGGGGATGGATGGGGAAAAGGTTGAGAAAGAACAGTTAGTGATACGGTTGATCGGCACCATGCTCAAGCGCTTCTAGTTCAATCATGGCTCCGAACTTTCAGGGGTTTTGCGTTGTATTTTTCCAAGTCCTAGAGGCGAAGGGGATAAAGCGGCAACTGACAGCGCTCAACACGTGATCCGCACGAGAATCAAGTTCCGTGTAGAGTTCCTCCCAGCCCAGCCAATCTCTCATCCCTCCGAGGCCAGTTCTCTGGTCTCAGAGGGATGAAAGGCTCAGACTTAGTCCCATTCGAATGTCTAATCAGCTGAAGCAAAATGCATGGTTCATCCCAGGAAGTGATTGATCAGGTCCTTGCTTTTTCGCCCTGTGCTCCTTATGCTTTCACCTCAGAGACTCTAACAAAAGCGGAGTACACAAGCATCTGCTCCTTTCATTTACTGTTTACCTTCGTTGTTAATATGGTTGTGTTCTGAAGAACTTTTGCGGTTCCTCTCAGGGCACCCGTGGGAAGGTCTTCTTGTGCCTCAGCAGACTGTCAGCTGTATCTCCAGAGAAATCGTCAATCTTAATCAGTTTTGTCTTAAAAAGTTGATTTACGACTGATGACTTTGTGAAAGGGCGAAGTTGGTGTGGTGCCAAGTTGCACCGCCTAACATGTGATTGGCACGGGATCAAATCTTGGCTGAGATCTCCTTGGAGCCATCAAAATCATTCGTCCTTCCAAGATCAGTTGACTGGTGGCGGTTTCGCATGTCTCCCAGGATCTGGAATACCCTTTCCAACGTTAGGTCAGGAGATTCCCCAGGGAGGGATAAACGAGATTGTGCCGTGTTCCCATCAGGGAGCTATGCTCAGTTATTACGCCTCTATAAAGAGCCTCTTCTTGTGTGAGCGCAGCTGACAAAGCGATAGGCGGTCGATTCTTCTTTCCCTAGGATCGTGGTCATTCAATGTGCGTCCGCCACTATTCATCAGGCACATGACAACGCCGTGTTTTTTGTTCGCTGCACTTT